GTTTGGAAGTATGGGCGCGTAAAGAGGTAAAGGGGGGGTGTTAATTGGTATTTATAGGTAAGGGAAGTGGGTCGGGTCGGTGGATGTAATGATGAGGATCCGAGTTCGAAACGGGTTGCATTAAATGAGGTACTAGATTAGGAGGCTGAATTGACCTGGGAGGTGAAGGTGTTTTGTAGCTTGAAATGGAAAACCCTAACCGGCGATTCGATGGTTGCTTTATGGGGGCGTGCAATGGTGTCACGAAATTCGAGGAAGATAGGATAAGGATCTTCCTAAAAAGTAACCGTTGAAAAAAACGTTTCACCTTATTAACCTTTGGAATTCCGGATGAGCGGTTCCGGACAGAGTATGATCCGGAGGATAAAGAGTTGTGTTCCGGAACATGCTTGTTTTGAAAAGTGGTCCGGAATGAGAAATAATCCGGAGAGAGTTTCGATTCCAAGAGTCAAAATTTAGTGTCATTTTGGAAAAGATGTGTGATTCCGGAACAGAAATTCAGTTTGATTTGAAAAGGTTTGTGATTCCGGAGCAGAATTCTGGAATAGTGATTTTCAAGAATTTCCGGAGTGATTTGAAAAAGTTTCCGGAACATGATTTAAAAGCATTCGGAGAGTGAGATTTAAATAATTCCGGAGCAAGATTTGTAAAGCATTCCGGGGTGATATATGAGAGACCTTCCGGAGTGAATTTTGAAATTCCGAAGTGCAGAATGCAATACCTTTCCGGAGTGGAATTTCGGGATGCCATTATGAAGTATATTCCGAGATGAAAATTTGAGCACTATGACAATGTGGACTTTAAATAGCAAACAATCAGGACGAACTGTACAGCTTAAAACTCAAGTGATGGTCAGAAATAAAGACAAGTAAAATGATCCTATGTATTCAGAGAGAAAGTAGTTCCGAGATGAAAAATTTAGATCGGAACTAATTTTCTTTCGAATACGTCTATCAAAGAGAACAAGTCTCTTGAAAGAACTGAGGATCTGGTATCATCATACCCATCTTGTTCAGAAAACCGTTGAATTTGGTTTCGTCTAATGCCTTGGTAAAGACATCAGCAATCTCATCGTCAGATGGAACAAAAATGAGTTCAATGTTACCATTTAGAACATGATCTTTTATGAAATGGTACCTTATATCGATGTGCTTAGTCATTGAGTGCTGAATTGGATTGTGGGAAATCGCAATGGCACTTTGAGAATCACAATAGATAGGAATGCGTTGAAAGTGGTAACCATAATCCAAGAGTTGAGATTTCATCCACAGAACCTGAGATGTACAGCTGGCAGCAGCAATGTATTCGGCTTCGGCTGTAGATAGTGCAATGCAGTTCTGTTTCTTGGATGACCAACTGACCAAACGACCACCTAAGAATTGACAGCCACCTGAAGTGTTTTTTCTATCAAGTTGAAGACCACTATAGTTTGAATTTGAATAGGCTTGAAGTAGAAAGCTCTCGTTTGCTGGGTACCAGATTCCGAGACTCTTTGTACCTTTGAGGTATCGGAAGATTTGTTTCACAGCCAAGAGATGAGACATCTTTGGGTTGACTTGAAATCTGGCACATAAACATGTGGAAAACATGATATCCGGACGACTTGCTGTGAGATAGAGCAGGGATCCAATCATTCCGCGGTACTTCTTTTCATCAACTGAAACACCTGAAGGGTCGGCAAAGATCTTGTGTCCGAAACCCATTGGTACCTTGGCTGAGGCACAGGTGTCCATTGAGTATTTCTTGAGGAGTTCCGAAATGTACTTCTCTTGGTGAATGAAGATTCCTCTGTTGTTAGTCTGTTTGACTTGAAGGCCAAGAAAGAAGCTTAACTCCCGATTCATGCTCATTTGGAATCGATTGATCATAAGTTTAGCAAAGTCAGCAACCATAGATGAATCCGTAGATCCAAAAATGATGTCGTCCACATAAATTTGTACCAGCATGAGATGCTTTCCATTTGATCTTCGGAATAGGGTAGGATCTAGAATTCCTCTTTGGAAACCGGAGCGTTTGAGAAAATCAGTGAGGGTCTCGTACCATGCCCGAGGAGCCTGCTTGAGTCCGTAGACAGCCTTCCGGAGTTTGTAACAGTAGTTCGGAAAGGAGAGATTAACAAAACCGGGGGGTGTTGAAGGTACACTTCAGTGTCAAGTTCACCGTTAAGAAAAGCACTCTTAACATCCATTTGGTAAACTTTGAAGCCTTTGTGAGCAGCATAAGCAAGAAAGATTCTGATGGCTTCAAGACGTGCAACAGGAGCAAAGGTCTCATCGTAGTCGAGCCCTTCAATCTGTGTAAATCCTTTTGCCACCAATCTTGCTTTATTTCGAATAATAATAACTCCTGCGTCATCTAGCTTGTTGCGAAATACCCATCTCGTACCGACAATGGGATGATTCTGAGGAGGAGGCACGAGAGTCCAAACTTCATTTCGGTCAAATTCTGCCAGTTCTTCTTGCATGGCTGTAATCCAGTCAGCATGCTCTAATGCGTCCTTAATGGATTTGGGTTCAACCATGGATATAAATGCTGAGAAATGGCATTCATTTTGGATACTTGTAGCAGAACGAGTCTGTACACGGTTTCCGATTACTTGGTTTGGAGGATGATCCTTTGTCCAAACATGTAATCTTGGGAGTTCTTGTGCAGCCGTCGATCCGATATCAACAGTGGAATTGATTTGCTCCCCCTGAATGGTTTGAATGTGAGGATGATGCTCCCCCTGAACTTCTGAACCAGAGAGATTGACATCATCATCAGAAGGGAACTCAAAGAAATTTTCATTTTCATCAATGTTGAGAGGATTGGAGTCATCGAAATCAGCAGCTGCATCTTGGAAGCCATCCACATTTGATTCAAGAGAGGGATGAGCATCTCCCCCTCAACTGAGGTTGAAATGGTTCGGAATCAAATGGAGGGAGGCTTGGGATCGGACCGGAGACGTTTTGCGAGACAGGGGCTTCCGAAGGAGAGATTGGAATGAGAGTTGGCCTTGTTCGAGATTCCGAATCAAGAGCGGTTTCGGAAGGACCAAAGAGAGTTTCAAAGTCAACTTCAAGAATTTTTGAGGGTTCGGACATCCTGGGGAGGAGCATCGGACTCCATAATGTGAGTTGTAATATGGTTGGGCCAGAATTCCGAACGAAGTTGTCATCGAAAGTAACGTCAAAGCTTTCTTCCAGAACACGAGTTCTCCGGTTAAGAACTCTGTAAGCTTTTGATTTTGAGGAGTACCCAAGGAAGATGGCTTCATCAGCTTTAGGTTGGAACTTGGTAAGCTGATCACGGTTGTTCTTGATGAAGCATCTGCATCCGAAAACATGCAAAAACGAGATTGTTGGCTTCCGACCATTCATTGCTTCGTACGGTGTCATGTTGAGGCGTCGATTGATGATACTTTGATTTTGAGTGAACTAGACAGTAGATACGGCTTCAGCCCAAAGATAGAGTGGTAGATTTGCGAAGTTCAGCATGGATCGAGTACCTTCAACGAGAGTTCTATTTCGTCTTTCGACAACACCGTTTTGTTGTGGAGTATAAGGGGCTGAGAAGTTGTGGTCGATTCCTTTTTCAGTGAGAAATTTCTCAATGGTGGAATTAGTGAATTCCGATCCATTATCACTTCGGATTCTCCTAACTGGGAGTTTGATAAGAACTTCTATTCCTTTGATAAAATTGATGAGCTCTGAGGCTGTTTCGGATTTCAGCCTTAGAGAAGACCCAAGTGAACCTTGTAAAATCATCAACAATCACAAGAATGTATTTCTTATGATGAAGACTTTCTACAGTGGATGGTCCACAAAGATCAATGTGTAGAAGCTCCAATGGTTCCGAAATGGATTTTTCGATGATAACAGGATGACCCTTCTTCGATTGCTTACCACACTCACAAGCAGCACACAAATGATCATTTTCGAATTTGAGAAGAGGTAGACCTCTCACCATTTCGCCGGATACGAGATCATTCATGTACCGAAAGTTTAGATGAGCGAGCCTTCGGTGCCATAACCAACTGACGTCAGGAACAACTTTGGTGAGAAGGCAGAGTTGCGGTTTGCCAAAATCATGTTGATGTCGAGCGGGGTACATGTTCTTGTTGCGAAGTGACTTGATTAAACACTCTTTCCGGTCTTCAGTCATTACATAGCTGTACTTTTTGCAAATTCCACACGTCGATTTGAATCAGTGAGCTGAGCAACACTTATCAAATTATGTTTTAGATCAGCTACATAAGCCACATGTGAGATAGAGAAGTTTCCATTGGTGAGGATCCCATAACCACGTATTTGAGAGTTGGAGTTGTTGCCATATGTCACGTAACCAGCGTTTGGAGAAAGCTTTAGATCTCGCAGAAAATCTTTCTGCCCCGTCATGTGCATGGAGCAAGCACTATCAATATACCATATTGTTCTTGCTCCGAAGCACAAGTGCCTGCAAAATTAGTGAGTAATGGAGTTTTTAGGCTCCGAATAGACTTTGGGACGTAGGCACGGCTTTGGACTTTGATTGTGACTTAGGAACAACTTTGTGTTTCTGGGTGGTATTTTCGAATTCTTGGAAACAGACAGAAGGCTAATGTCTTTTCATCTATCCAGTAGTCATATTTAATGACTTGGAGGTTCCGAACGGTCTTCTTCGGACCTTTGACTTCCGGAGTGTTGATAACATTTGTGACCTCCAAAATTGTTGTTTCATCCATGGGAGATTTGACTTTCCGCACAAGATTTTTCTTTGAAGATTTTGAAAAAATTGTTTTCTTTGCATTGTTTGTGGATTTGCTTGATGACACATTGGTTTTGAAAGATTGGGTTTTAAAAATTGTGCCATCAGATTAGCAATAAAAAACCGATGAAACAGTCCGAGGAGAAGTGTTTTGGA